GTGATCTTATGAATGAAAAGGCATTTGGAGAGCCACAGGATTGGCCCCTTTGGGAGTTGCCTCACCGGATAGAGAAAGAATGGAGACCCAACACTTAGCAAGCGTGGGAAATGAAAAATGTCCTTCTGCCATTCAGCCTGGGAACTGTGGGGAAATCTGGGCAAGAGCTGGGCAGAAGATTCTGGAGGAGGAAACTATCATCCATTCAGAAGATCAGCCTTGGAACTTCACAAGCTACCAGGAGGCTGAGGGTCCCCGGGGGCTTTGCAATCGACTCCATGACGTTTGCAGGCGATGGCTGAGACCAGAAAAGCACACCAAAGCCCAGATGCTGGACCTGGTGGTTCTGGAGCAGCTCTTGGCTCTTCTGCCCCCAGAGATGGAGAGCTGGGTGCGGGAGGGTGGAGCAGAGACCAGCTCCCAGGCGGTGGCCCTGGCAGAAGGCTTCCTCCTGAGCCAGGGGGAGGAGAAGAAAGAGCAGGTTGAATTGCAGGTGAGACACTTTAGGGAGCTCAAAAAAGGAATAAAGAATGTGTTTGAATTATTCACCCCTCCTTCCCAAACTTCTGACATTCATAGAACTTCTGACAACAAGAAGCAATGGGTGGAAACTAATCAAGGAGAGAAGCAACTTAGAACTGAGGAGAAATTTCCTGACAGTGAGAACAATTAACCAGTGGAACAGAAGTTGCCTCCAGAAGTTGTGAATGCCCCAACACTGGAGCTTTCTAAGAAGAGACTGGGCAGCCACTTTTTGGGAATGGCATAGGGCAAGGGTGTCAAACTCAAGGCCACGGGGTGCTTAAAGGCGGCCCATGGGGCTGGCCTGGAAATCTCAAAGGAGCGGCGCACGGTGCCTCTGGCGGCTAAAATGGGCCACATGAGCTCCCCCTGACCCTCATTTTCACCTTCCATGGCCTTCTGTAGCATTTTGCCGGCTGAAAACAGGCAGGAAACAGGTGGGAAAGCAGACCAGAAACAGGCCGGAAATGGGCCAAAAATGAGCCAAAAAAGGGCTGAAAAACAGGAGAACTACGATATTTTTCAGAGTATAAGACTCACCTTCCCCCCCCCACCCAAAAAAGAGGGTGAAAATCTGGGTGCATCTTATACACTGGATACAGCTGTGAAGTTTCCAAAAGATGACCTAATTAATTGACAAGCCTCAAGACAAAGTTCAAAAGAAATCCAGTCATTTATTAGGATCAACATTTTGGCATGTTCCTCTACTGAGTCGAAACTAAATTTCCAGTTAATGGTCTTTGCACTTTACCCCAGTGTCTCCCCTCCCCTCAGTCTGTGTCATAAATCATATCCACCAATGAGGTGCTGCAGCAGGCTGGGAACTTTGCACCCCGCACACCAGCTGTAGAAATATGAGATATGACTCTGGCCAAAGGTATGCATGGAATTCGCCCTTCAATGTCAACTTGATAATAGTCATGGTAACGCTTTACAAGTTGACATTCGGCTCCCCTCACTTCCCGAAAGCAACCTGTGTGAAACAAAAACAATTTGAGTACAGGTATGTAATTTAGGGGTGCGTCCCTCCCCCAGGTTTGCCTGGATTTTCTGCATGGAATTTTGCTACAAGGAGATCAGCCTGGCAGCCCCCCCCCTCAAGTGGCCTGCAGAGAATTACCATATTTTTCAGAGTATAAGGCACATGGTTTCCCCCCAAAAAAGAGGGTGAAAATCTGGGTGCATCTTATACGCTGAATACAGCATTTTTGGCCTCCCAAAACCCCGCCCCCTTCACAAAAATGGATGTGCAGAGGGTTTGGGAGGTCTGCAAAGTGCTCCTGGGAGCTGGGGAGATCAAAAACGAGCAAAAACCCAGGCCATTTTAGCTCGTTTTTGCCCCATCAGCACTTTGCGGACCTCCCAAACTCTTTCCATGCCTCGTTTTTCATTAAAAACAAGGCTTGTAGAGAGAGTGAGAGCTCTCCAGAGTGAACAAAACTTTTTAAAAAAAATTTACCTCTTCAAAATCTTGGTGCGTCTTATACTCTGAAAAATACGGTATAGTGCTGATCTGGCCCTAGAAGAAATCCAATTTGACACCCCTCGTACAGGGTCTCCTGCCTGAGCAGGGGGTTGGACTAGAAGACCTCCGAGGTCCCTTCCAACTCTGTTATTTTATTCTGTTCTATTCCAAGGTACAGGTAGCTCTCAACTGTCAACGGTCTGCTTAGTGACCATTCAAAGTTACAATGGCACTGACAAAAAAAAAAAGACATGATCATATTTCGCCCTTACGACCGTTCCAGCATCCCCCAAATCCCCAAATCACTGGGGATTTTACAGTGTGGTTGTGTGACGATGTGTGATTTATAATGACCATCACGATTTACAATAACAATTGCGGGTTCAATTATGGTCGTAAGTTGAGGGCTGCCTGCATTGGGTTACCAGCTGATTATTATTGCATTGTTTCCTTAAATTGTTTTGATTTCTGCTTTTCTGGCAGGTGGAACATTTGAAAGAGAGCGCCGGGACTCAATTCCAGGAAGCACAAGAGAAACTGAACCAAATTTTGCTCAAATGGACCCAAACTCAGTCAGAAGAGGATCGGGAAAGAAGAGAGACAGAAAACTCCCCACAACAGGTAGTCTATGCAACAGGTCGTCCTCAACATAGCAGGGGGTTGGACTAGAAGACCTCCAAGGTCCCTTCCAACTCTGCTATTCTGTTATAACCAGTTATGTTTATTGCATGGGTTCAAGTGTTCTTCCTTGCAGTTTTTTTTTTAACTTTGGCCCCTTTAAGAGATGGACTTCAGCTCCCAGAATTCTGAGAATTGAAGTCCACCCATCTTAAACCATACTAGCTGGGGAACTCTGGGAGTTGAAGTCCACCCATCTTAAACCATACCAGCTGGGGAATTCTGGGAGTTGAAGTCCACCCATCTAAAACCATACTAGCTGGGGAATTCTGGGAGTTGAAGTCCACCCATCTTAAACCATACTAGCTAGGGAATTCTGGGAGTTGAAATCCACCCATCTAAAACCATACCAGCTGGGGAATTCTGGGAGTTGAAGTCCACCCATCTAAAACCATACTAGCTGAGGAATTCTGGGAGTTGAAGTCCATCCGTCTTAAACCATACCAGCTGGGGAAATCTGGGAGTTGAAGTCCACCCATCTTAAAGGATGCTGACTGGGGAATTCTGAGAATTGAAGTCCACCCATCTTAAAACATGCTGTCTGGGGAATTCTGGGAGTGGAAGTCCACCCATCTTAAAACATGCTGTCTGGGGAATTTTGGGAGTTGAAGTCCACCCATCTTAAACCATACTAGCTGGGGAACTCTGGGAGTTGAAGTCCACCCATCTTAAACCATACCAGCTGGGGAATTCTGGGAGTTGAAGTCCACCCATCTAAAACCATACTAGCTGAGGAATTCTGGGAGTTGAAGTCCATCCGTCTTAAACCATACCAGCTGGGGAAATCTGGGAGTTGAAGTCCACCCATCTTAAAGGATGCTGACTGGGGAATTCTGAGAATTGAAGTCCACCCATCTTAAAGGATGCTGGCTGGGGAATTCTGGGAGTGGAAGTCCACCCATCTTAAAACATGCTGTCTGGGGAATTTTGGGAGTTGAAGTACACCCATCTTAAACCATACTAGCTGAGGAATTCTGGGAGTTGAAGTCCATCCGTCTTAAACCATACCAGCTGGGGAAATCTGGGAGTTGAAGTCCACCCATCTTAAAGGATGCTGGGTGGGGAATTCTGGGAATTGAAGTCCACCCATCTTAAAGGATGCTGGG